ACATGCACCGAGCGCATTTCGTGCTAAATATTTGTCTCCCAAGTGCTCAATTGGCAGAGATCAATTAGAAATGAATCCGACTGTTGGTATAAGCAACAGCTGATTTGCAACAGTAAAATCCTACAGCAAAAAAATTTTTTTTTTGCAAATACAGAGCAAATATAAACAATTCCCGGAGCTGAGGAAAAGTGAAGCAAAAAAAAAAGTCACCGATCAATAGAAACACAGGTGATTAAAAATAGGTCAGTGGTTTGAAATGACAACACACCGACTAATCAGGTAACGTTGGACTGAATAAGCTCATGAATGCTCCAAGTCGGCTCTCCACATCACCAATTGTACGATACTTCCACAATAACCTTTCTACGCCAGCAGCTTTGGTTTGCTGAGAAAAAAAAATGGAGTGAGAGAAAAAAAAAGATATACACTTCGAAAATGTTAGGTCGAGAGCCTATGGTGACCTTATTGAAACAAGGGCAAGGGATGATATGATGCCTTGTCCTCTCGGGGAAATAAATGTACAAGTGCGAATGTCATTATACAGTGAGAAAATCTCGCCAAATAGCCAGATGGAGGACTTTGCACTGTCTATCTATTCCAGACAGGAATAAAGTTGGGTGAATCTAACTTTCTTGTGCAGAAGAATGCTACCTGTTGACCAGTCAGATTAACAGGGTAGAAGCTGGAACTCAAAACTGCTGCCATCACTCCGGCTGAGGAAGGAGCAGGTGTAAATATGATGAGATGAGAGACGGGGGCAATGATGGCAAAGTATTCATAGGTTATTTATAGAAAACACAGTCTTCGGGTTCAGGTGAGACCATGTGAAGACTTTGATTGTTTAATCGTATCCAACTGCTAAATTCAAAACTGATAATGCGATTTTATGTTTGCATTGTGATAACACTCATAGATAGATAGAAAGCAGAAACATTTCAACTCATGGCTTAGAAGAGGTTGATAAATTCTAGACTCGTTTATTACTAGTATCTGCATTAATTGAAATAGACTGTTTTTTTTTCAAATTCCTAATCTATTTGATATTTAATGATGTATTAAGTTATTGCTACAATTAAAATGATTTATTTTGCTTTCACCACGTTCCTTGCATTGGCTGGAAGCTATAATTATTTCATTGATGGACTTTAATTAAAATAGCAACACAATGAGTATTTATGTCTGTAATTTGTCGTATTATTCAATCCACTTGGATTCATAATCTGAATTGTTTACAATTGTTTTTTTTAATGAATGGATGCCCTGCCTATAGATAGATTATGAAAATTAAGTGGCCATCTATACAATTCACGAGGACATTACAGTTGAGTCATGAGACGAATTGGGAACAGAGGACACATTAGTGCATTAACAGCAAACTGATAAGGAGAAATTGAATTATTATGATGTCCGAAAACAATTAGGGAATAACTAACTGAGATAAACTAAACGTTGAATAAAATTAAAGTAATTAGAAGGGGGGGAGGGTTTAAAAACCGCGGTGCTTCTTTACCCATTTCCTTATGTCAATTAGCACAAAGAATATCTTACGAAATTACCGCAAATTTTATCCTGTGATTCGAAACTGTGAGTACTGCACCGAAGTTCGGTGGCGATTTGAACGAAGAAGGGGATGGGGTGAGGGGGGGGTTGGGGGGTAAAACTTTTAAGGTCATACGATTATAAAGCAGAAATGTCAAGGGATTAAATACAAAGTTCGGAAAGTTGTTTTTTTGGGGGGTGGGTGGAGAGGGGGGAATGATCCTTCCTGTGGTTCGGACTATGTTGGGAACAAACCGAAATACTGCGTCTTTAAGTTATACCAAAACCAGTTATCCGTTGGTTATTGGGAACAGCAAACACACAATGTCATTACAACACCCTTTTTTTTTTTACCTGCCTTTTGCTTCTGGAAAGTCATTGACAATCGCGCGAAAAAAAAAACCCAACACACAAGCAACTGAAGTGCCAGAGTCGCGCAGAAAAGACAGCGCAATGTTTCAGCGCACAGTGTGTTCCTAACATTGTGAGTATTAAAACGGATCAGGTTTACGCAGTCGCTATTTTTCGTTTTCTGTTTTTTCCTTTTTTTTTAAAAAAAACCCAATGATTTATTTTAATCCTGGGGGGGGGGGATACTTTGCGTAGATGCAACAAACGGGCACTAATCATTTCAAATCCTCCCCCCCCCTGTATATGACAGACTGTAGCAGCCTTTCCAGTCATGGCTCGCGTTCATCCTGAATCCTAACCCAATTGAAGTGCACCTGGTTTTGGAAGAGCCCTGTGATTATCAGAGTACTTTAGATTCCCATTTTATACGCCTACATTTTCACTGGTTATCATAATATTTAATACTTGGCATCTGCCTTTTATCCCGCGTGCTTTTCAAACTCATAATTGACACCATTCCTTACAAAAATTCAAGGGGGGGGGGGGAAAAAAAATGTTGGGATCACTTGTTGTGCAACAACTGCCACATCGCCTGTTGATGCAGTTTTCCTTTCTTGAACGTTTTGGGGATCTGTGTTGAGGCCAATCTCTGTACAATAGAGGCTCAGGACCTTGTTTCATGTTTTGTATTCATTAACAGAAGCTGTTGACAATTATGCTTGTTTTAGGAATGCCCATCATTTCATCCTCGATCCCTTGCTTAGAGCCCCGATGCAACTGGTTAAGGTAAAGGTAACGAAGGACATCAATTATACACAGAGTGAATTGAATGCGCATTGCAAATAACCGATCGTTTAATTTGGTAACAGAGAAAGGGAGAGAGAAAACAATATCGTTACCGAAATCAATCTGATCAATCGTGGAAATCACTGAGGCTTTTACCAGAGCAATATGTATGTGTATATATATATATATATATAAGTAAAATGTACAGTCTGCATTCAAATTGTCAATGCAATCCCCAAAGATCTGGACTTATTTATTCCTTTGCACAGTTATTAATTCATTCTGATTCAGAAACCCACCCGATAATCAGCACCAATAGCATAACGCAGTTTCCAAAGCTGTTTTTTTTTAAAAAAAACGAACAAACCCACAAGAAAAAAAACGACTGATTTGTTTCCTTTTAAAATATGAAAAAAAAACTTCCTATCCAGAGTCAATGGATCTATTAAATGTATATTCCAGTTGCGTGGTGGGATCATAATTATTGAGACGAAGAAATCATCTCGAAACAAGCGACAGCAATGTCTTTCTTTCCTCTTTTTTTGTGTGTGTGTGTGTGTGTGGGGGGGGGGGGGGGGGGGGGCAAAGGAGATGGTTTCTCTTTCTGAACCGTCTCTCAAACAAAGCGTTAGTCTTAACTAACTCATCGTTTGATTGATTAAGGCTTTGAATAAAGTTCCGCGCCAGACTGACAAGAGTGGGGCTTTTTTTTTTGAATAGCCGCTTCCAAATAAAGGCCACTCGGATGGCTGTGCTTAAAGATCAGAGTGTAAAGGATGAGTTTACCGGCAGTTACCAAGTTATAAATAGAGGAACTCAGACAATAGTACCTTCTCTGAGGACAGACGGCCTTTACAACAGTCCTGGCGTCATATCCTGCTGAGGCGCTTCAGTTCTCAGTCAGACCATTTCTTTTCTCTCTCTCTCTCTTTTTTTTTGGGGGGGGGATTCTTAGTTGTTTGGCCCTTCGTACTAAACCTTAAAATCCATCGGCATATATATAAGCAAAGATGAGCTTGCGGTCAATATCAGGGCTCTGGCTCTGTACCTGAGCATCCTTTGTGCTTTCAGATTGTGTCCTCTTCACCCCCAACCCCAATGCTACCCTTACCCCCCCCACAGCCCACCCCCAGCCCAACTATCAGCTCACTTTGGCCAAAGGCTTAACTTTCAGGGGGGAGGGAGGGGTGTGGATGAGGGGAGGGGTGGGGGGGGGGGGGGGGGGGCTGGAGAGGCTGAGAGTGTTATCATCACCCATCAAATAATTGCACTTACAGATTCCACACTGCAACGTGCAAAGGTAGTCAAAAAGCAACGTGCTGCCATCACTGGAGATGTTCTTGGGATAACCACACACATTGGATTGACCTAACCCCCCCCCCCCTTCCCCCTTTTTTTTTGCAGGAAATCATCTCTAAAAAAAAATCGAAAATAGATATATTTCCCCCCCCCTCAAGAAAAGAAAATAAATCTGAGTTAGATGATGATGATAATAATAGTAATAATAATAATAATAATAAGTGCAAGCTCCGTTTTTGGGTGTGTGAAAAGGCAAAGCAGGACAGTTTGTTGTTACTACAGTTAACAGCAGAGCATTCGCTTTTATCATATTTCCCATTATAAGGAGAGGAAGAGTGCAGAGAGCAACCAATCGGAGCACACGTTTCCCAAAGAGAAGACTCCCTCATTACACCAATGAGAGCGAGGGGATGGCGATGGAAACAGGGCTGGAAGAACTGATAAAGTCTGCAGGTCACTTGTCCCACCGACTCCTAACTGTGACCACAACAACTCCCACCCAGGCTTTTGAAATCACAGTTGTACCTGTCACACACACACACACACACAGACACACACAGACAGACAGACACACACACAGACAGACACACACAGACATACCATCACAGAGCAAGAAACAGCAGCAGCAGCTTTGAGAGACATCCCCACCTCCCCCCCATCTCCAAAACAACACATAAAAACATTTTCAACTAACTTTCTATTTCCTGTCCGTTAAGAGTTTATTTTTTGTGTGGTGTGTGTGTGTGTGGGGGAGGAGGAGGAGAGGGTGTATCACCATCTCTCTCCCAGAGGAAGAGATTGAAACGACTTTATTCAGCTTCTCCTGAAGTCGCCTTGGCCTGAAGTGGATTTATCTTTCTTTTTTTTTCCCTTTCCCCCCCAAAAAAAAATTAGTGGTGATTTCTTTTCTTTTTTTTCTGCCCCCCCCACGCACCACCCTCCCCCCCCCCACCCCCCACCACCACCCACCCACCCCCCAATCGGCAACCCACAGGGAAAAACCTGGGAACTGAACGTTTCTTAAAATGACCACGTTGCCTGGACCGGTCCCAAGAATGATGAGACCATCCCCGGGACAGAATTACTCTCGCAGCAGCGGGTTCCCGCTGGAAGGTAAGTTGCACATGTTTTTATTTACCCAAACGCTCTTCCTTCAGTTTATATCTATATCTATCTATCTATATATCTATATATAGTCGCGTTATCTATTTAGCAAGGGGAAGGGGAGAGCAAAGCATTGAACGCAGCCAGTAACCCCCAATATAATACAATGCAAATCCTCCCAGTGTTGTTTTTAATTAAACTGCACTTTGCAGAGTTGTTTTCAGAGCGTGTCCGATTGACTGTGTCTTCCCCTCACCCCGCCCAAGTTCAATATATCGTTTTTTTTAAAGAAAAACGTCTCTTAAGCTTTTTGTGAGCCCTTTTGCTACTTGAAAACAAGTCGTTTGCAGGATGTGAAAGTCAGTGCGTCTAACTGTGTCGTGGAATCAATGCAAAAAACAGACCACTTTCTCTCCCCCCCCCCCTCCCCACCCCACTCTTGGTTTCAATGAGGTTTGACAGTAATATGTGTACGGGACACACTGTGTTTATCGACGGATCAATGTCTTCCAACTTTATAAACTCAGAATGCGCATAGAATTCACGGATTAATCTGATTAAAAAACCATCTATTGTACAAACCGTTTCCTGTTTTGTTAAAACGAGAAGCCGAAATATCGATGGAGGATTTTTTTTTAGGCATTGGATTGAAATTACACAGCTGTAGCCTTTCCTGGATTGAAAAAAAATAAAACTGAAGCGGAATAGTTCAGGCGAAGCTTCATGTGCACATCTCACAGTATTATTAAATGACAACCAGAATAGCCACCTTTTAATTATGACACCAGAACTGTCCCGTTTTGGGTGACATTGCTGACAGTGAATGTATAAATATCTCTTGCTTCTGTTGTGTTCTTAAGCCTGATATACCGTGGTCTGTTTTTTTGCGACTGTGTTTGATGTCTATCTGCCGAGTTTCAATGCAACATATTAATTAGCCGCTTTCACTGCAAACAGTGTCAACACCTTTAGGTCAAGGGAGAGTGAACCAACTTGGAGGAGTTTTTATCAACGGCCGACCTCTGCCAAACCACATCAGGCACAAGATAGTAGAAATGGCCCATCACGGCATCAGACCTTGTGTCATCTCCAGGCAGCTGAGAGTCTCTCACGGATGTGTGTCCAAAATCCTCTGCAGATACCAGGAGACAGGTTCCATCAGACCCGGGGCCACTGGAAGCAAACCCAGGGTGAGGCAGATTGAACTTCAATTGGCTTCAATGATCTGGCTGGTTAACATGCAAACTTGTTTCAGATTTCAGCTGATCAATGCTATACATATATATATATATAGTATTATTTAAAAGTCACTCGGAACAACGTGGCAGAGCATCGGTGCTCACCACCTCTCATGTTGTTCTGGCCAACCGTGTTTCAGAAATGGGTAGTAATAGATCCTTATAACCAACCACCTGAGGATTGTGTTAGGTGTTTTCAAACCAAACTATACATCAAAGTCCGAAATTGCAGACCATGTCGTACCTGTATTTATGTCAACCCATGCAGTGCGAGTTCTATAATTAACAAAACGATTGCCCATGTTTTTTTTTTGGGGGGGAGGGGGGCTGTTTCACAACTAGTCGATGAAGTTTCTTCATGAATGTGTATCATTGTGTGGAATGTGGTTCGCGAGTTTAAAGAACATAATCCAACAGGGCCAAGTCACATGTGGCTCATCATCATTATCACATTGTTCAATTCAGTTCACTTAAATCATGGCTTGTGGGGAAAAAAAAGGTGTATTAAACTGAAGCTTTGAATCATGTAAGTGTTTAAAAAAAATCACTGAAAATCAATGGCAGTAGAATATCGTGAACTGGGTTAAAACGTAGTACTGTAATATATTGAGTGATTTTAGATTCACATTTTGTCATTTGAAAGAGTAGTATTTCTTCTTAAATACCGTTTGCTTCGAATATAATGTGGATTTTAAAAATATTACAATTTCAACATCAAAATTCGTTTCTCATGTCTCGAAAGCCCAAGTGTATATTTTAACAAGAGTAGTTACATTAAAAAAAAGTGCTAGTTATTTTTATTACATGGGTTAATGAAACACTCATCTTTAATGCGCCACTTTCTTGTGCAGCTGCACATCTAAAAATGGGTGAATGCTGAAAAGAAGCGATGTCGCTTAATTTTTTTAAACAATATAATTAATATACATGTATTGGAAACTAAAATCCACTTTCCTTTGGCAGTTGAGCAAAACTGTGCTCAAAAGTTTTATAAATCCCCTGTCCAATGACTCCGGCTATTCTTTGAATTCCCGATTTAATCTGCAGTGTCGATGGTTTTGTCAGAGAGAATTAAACAGGTTGTAATAGGTAGCACTGTAATTGTCACAAATCGATCAGTAGACAAAGAACCTACATGGACACCTCTTGTTGTATCAACGTGTCTGCACGGTTCAAATACCCGCACAGAGCAAAGACACCGAAGATAAGGACATCGTATGTGTTTCAATGTGACTTTTATTCACTGTAATTTCCGTGGTGACATTTACAAATGCACAAGAGATTGAAACAGCAAACGCTGATAGTAATTATCCCGTCATGAGAGATGCAAATATAACACTGTCGGGGAACGCAGATTAGACGTCGAAGTTGAAGAGTTTATTGAGACGCATTTTTAAACGCGTTCAACAATAAAATGGGATATTGCGGGGGGACGTACGGTAACGGTTTGACCAGGAATTGTGCAAAGCTTTGGCGTTACAAGGACTTTTTTTTAATATAAAAAAGAAAAATCGGAAATTGCTGTTACAATCTCAAATTAGTCTCTGAATCGAAATCGAACGCAACGAACGTCGTAAATAAAAACAAAGTTTGTGTCTCTCTCTCTCTCTCTCTCTCTCTCTCTCTCCTGCCGTCCACATATTTATTGAAGCAAATGGCTTTACCCGAGGTGGAGAAAAAGATCGAAGATTATAAGAAAGAGAATCCTGGAATGTTTAGCTGGGAAATCCGGGATAAATTGTTGAAGGACGGCATGTGTGATCGCAACACCATTCCCTCAGGTCGGTTCATTACCTGTGATTCATCTTAAACGCAACAGAAAATATATTTGTCCCCACTATCATCGCAACTGACACCGCAAATAACTATTAACCATCTGTGTTGCTTCTTACGCCAGGAACAACCCCCTCTTAACGACCATTCCGTCCAACTGCGCAAAATAGCTAAACGAGCAAATTTATTTTAAAAGTAGATTTCCGAACACAGTTGGTAAAATTATGAACCCAAAATAATGTTGTGCTGTACCGTAAATTAATGGTGTTGATTATGATGCAGTGTGCACAAGGAAAACGCGACCATGTGTACAGATGTTTTAATGATACGGTTTTGCCAAAGTACTGTGTGTATTAGAGATTTGATGGGGAAAAAAAATTAGAAGTATTTTCAATGCTTTTGGAGGAAAAAACAGAAGTCGATTGGAGTGACAGCTCTGAACGGATCTGAACGATCAGACAGTCCTTGAACGAATACAGTCGCTTTTTTTTTTGGGGGGGGGGGTCCTTTTTGCGACTTATGCAAATGGTAAATTTAAAAATAAATTCAAAAGGGGATTGAAAAAGGCGGAATTCCGCAACAATGATTTCAATTCCCCACAAGTTATGCGATGTTCTGCTTTGTCGCAAAGCCCGAGCAGTGGTGTGGCAATCTCAAGCCAATAAATAACTCTTGCGCCTGCAAATTATAGCCATAATTCTGTTTCTCCTTTTTTTTAAAAAAACAAGTGAGCTCCATAAGTCGCATCCTGAGGAGTAAATTCGGGAAGAAAGAGGACGAGGAGGAAGATTGTGAAAGGAAGGAGTACGACGATGGCGATAAAAAGACTAAACACAGTATAGATGGGATTCTGGCCGACAAAGGTAAGACTTGGGCACTTGGAATTGTGAATAAATGTGCATTTTTTAAAAAAAAACACACGGCGTGGAAACATGCGCCTCAATATGGGTTCTTTATTTCAGATTGGTGCACCGGATAGATTTAACAAGTTATTGGATTTGTTTTGTTTCCCCCCCCAAAAAAAAATCAGAACGATTTAATAACCATTATTTTGATCCGTTAATGAGGAGTATTGCGACAATCCCGTTATTTACCCCCTGAGAACTAGTTGTGAGCAGAATTGGCTCAAGACACAAGTCATTGCTGAGGCGCTGTATGTCAGTGCTCTGCCTGTCCCTGGCTTTGTTGCCTTCTCCTGGTTGAATTTCCCCTTAAAAGTGAGGGTCGGAAGTGTGGCTTTGTGTGTTTTTTTTGCCCCTGCGACTTTTATTGAGTTTGTTCAGGTGGTAAAAGTTGACGCTGAAGTGTGAAAACAATTCAAACATTTGGAATTGGCGGCGCTTATCAAAGACGGATCGATATGTCCGGACTGGGGAAGCTCTTTCTATCTATCTTGTCTATCTATCTATCTGTCTAACTATCTACCTATCTATCTGTCTATCTCTCTATATATCTGTCTGTCTATCCATCAGCACCGCTAACCTGTTGAGAGAGTGGAGCCGCTTCATTGTGCACAGACACAGGAGAGATAAAGTTTACCATCTGACCGCAGTTTCATTTACTTCCCGTGAATTTCCTATCCAGTGCAATGATTTTACTGCTTTCCCTACATATTACCAGTAAACCTTCAGTTCCCGGTGATTTGCCACAGGCTGGTCTGGCCCTTTACAGCCAGTCAAGTCAGCCCATCATCCTCCCAGGGAAAAGCAACAGTTTGCGCCTGTTCGCTGCGCTTCTTTCACCACCACCAGCATCACCGCAATTTTCATTGGAAACCCAGCGCCAGATGTAGAAATCTTTACCTGGGTGACATCTGCAAATGCACCCACCCCCCCCACCCACCCCACCCACCCACTCCCCACCACCCACCCACCCACCCACTCCCCACCACCGCGCTGTTCGGAGCAGTTCGTGCAAACTGTCCTTCACAACGAAGTTACACAAATTAAAACAAAAAGGACTCCTTCTTTTTCTTTAGGATTGTAAATTGATTTCAAGGTATCATATTATTATTATTATTAAGGTTGATTTCAAGCCCCGGTCGTTACATATAGAAAATATATAACTGTATCATGTGTATATATTATATCAGATGTATATATAACCACATATAATATATATAGATATAATGTGTGTGTACAGGCACTCTCTCATTAAAACGATTCTAGCAAAGACATTTTTTTTAACGCACACACACACAGACAAGACTTCCAAAATAATGAAACGCATCTGCACAGTCTATCCCACTAGAGCCCCTGTCTTTCATCCGAGGATGGCGTGCTGTCCATTTTCATTATTCAGTAAAATACTTGAGTAACCTTTTGCAAGTCGAGCTTGAGACTCGTGGAAGGGTGAGATACGGGCGATTTTTACAAAATTAAGCACAACCCCCCCCCCCCCCTCCCACCCCCCACACACACACTGAACACAATTCATTGTCAACTCAGCGAAGGTGAAATTACTTGGCATTACATATTTACAGTATTATTATTTTAAACGAAAATCTACCAGGATGTAAAATTAGCACTCCCCATTTTTTTGAAACCATCGTCTTTAAAGGTATCAGACAAGAGGACACGTGTATTTTTTGTTTGTTTGTGTGTGTGTGTGTGTGTGTGTGTGTGGTGGTGGTGGGGGGGGGGGGGGTAATGCACTTGTATTATTATTGTTATTGAATTGGGTTTGCAATTACATTCAGTTTCTGCGCTCGACGTGTAGTTAGCACTCTTTGGCTCGACTCTGGTGAGCGTTCAGCTGTGTTTCTGGTGTGTGACATGGAGTCAGTTTTCAACGGGATGGATATGCCAATTTGAGAGCGTCCAACACTGATTCGATTAGAATGAAATCCTCGGAGCTCAAACAATCGGAAAACATTGCATTATAAATTGTAAGGCAACAGGGGGAAAAAATGCTAAACTCGAGCCAAAGCAAGCAAGGTTTAATCTGACCCAAAATGGGTCATAGGTGGATATGTACGTACGTGTGTTGCAGTCAGTAACAGGGAAGGATTCTTGATATTCTCCAACAGAACATCATTTCCATTCGAAAGTTAAGGGCGAAACATTTAGACCCCAAAGTCTTAGATTTTAGTGGTTGTGACTTTTTTTTGGGGGGGGGGGAATAAATCTGAGGAACGTTTGACCAAAGATACAGCAGGGAAAGTCTTGAAAAAATATTTACCCCTTTATCATTTCAGCTGAAACCTTGTGAAACATAGTCACGGTTAACGTTACTCTGTGGACGATGTTGCGCGGAAAAAAAAACATTGTAGTGTTTCTTTCTTTCATTTTCATTTTTACCACCTTTTGGAGGCCAGAGCATCTCAGTGCAATTTCTCGGCCATTTACCTTCCAGTCTTTCACCCACCCAGATGTTGTGAAAGCTGGAACGGAGTTGTGTGAGACTTGCAGAACTTTATAAAGTTCTTGTAAACTTGAAAAGTACCATCGCTTTATGAACAAAGAAAATACGTTTATTAAAAAAAAACCCACAGTTTTGGTGGTGGTATGTGTGTTGGGGGTTGGGGTGAGGGGGAGGAGGAAGGAGTGGGGGGAGGGGGGAGGCTAACAGTGAACTCTTTGAGCTGGAAACATACAAAACTGTTACCAGAATAGCCCAGCACCTCAAATTGTGCCACAACATACACACAGCAGTGTGCAGGAAGAAGTCTGTATCTGTAAAACCTACGTACACATGCCTTCAGTCCTCAGAGGGTTAATAAAGACCCCCCCCCCTTCGTAAAATTACACAGGTTGGTGCAAACGACATTGCACACTCATTGCGGGTCTGGTCGCACAACCGACGTGCAAAGTTGCTGAAATATAAGAGGAGTTCGTTGATATTTTCTGGAGGACAATCCAGTGTGTCCCGGTAGTTACTGATATTATAAGATTGCAGTCAAAAGCGGTCTCGCAAAAGTATTAACCACTTACTTTTCGTGGGCGAGTGTCCCAAATCATCCAGTTGCCACGCCAACCTTCCGAAAAGTATGCCAAGCGCTTATATCGCAGTTTTGCTTTGCTTTGAAATGACATCTAAACGCATTAAAAAGTCGGAAATGTGTTTTCTTCGGCGAATCACAATTGGAAAATGTGGATCAGAACAGCCAACAATTTATGGCAGTGTTACTCGGGAGAGCTGGAGAGTGGCCCAGGACCGGATTAAAGCTGGGTTTCTAGTTGGAAAACATTTATTGGTTTGATTAATGTACAATATTTCCCATTCGAATTGCTTTGGTGTTCGGATGAACGAGTTTTTATCCATGAATCACAGCAAGAGAGAGGGGTGGGGGGGGGGGGGGGGGGGATGTATCAGAAATAGCAGAGCGCCTCGTTTTAACTTGTTGGGGACTGTCACTGTTTAGTTATCTCCTCTCCCCAACTGAGTGTTTTCCCCCAAAAGACACGTTTTGTTAATCAAAACCTCGAGCCCTTTTTTTTTAAAAAAAAAGACGAGATACTCTTTTTAAGGAAAGGCTGTATAAATCTAATTCCTCTTTTGCACCAGCCTGCGCACAAGCTCGACTGACACAAAGTGTTGCTTGTTGCTGGAGTCCATAGACCTGCTCGAATTTCGCTGCAAATAGGATCCTGAGTAGACAAAAACTACCAAATGAGCTGGTCAAACATTTGTACAACTTTTCCAGCTATACAAAGAGGTCCTTGAATACACAATCCACACTTGGAGATGAACTTGGAAAACAAAGAAGCGTGAGTCCATTGAAAGTTACACTTTAGGCTCGGGAGGACAAAGCCTGTGCCAGTGACAGCTTGGCTCCAACAAAAGAAGGCAACCTTTTTGTAATTCAGGGAAAAAAAAGGAACAGAAAACATCCAAACAAAAGGCTGAGAAAAGACATTATGGCCTTGCAATGAGGGATGAATTATTCAGTGATCGCTAGTCGCCGCCAGTCCTTGCAGTTTTATGGACTCTCCACCGTGGAAAACTCGCCATTTTCACCTACAAAATGTTTCTTTTGGCATCTTTTTAGACGTGTGAGATGCCGACTGTCATTCAAACGTACAATTGGCACCATTCGATTGAGCGAAAAGGCTTTGATTTAGGGCTGGCGTTTGGGGTTGGAAGGCGCGCAGGAAAAACTGCTAAGAATGCGGACAATTTCCTACAGCAAATGGGTTAAAAACTCGGCTTTTGCAAACGACTATATTCTTGTTGAACGTTGCAGGCTGGAATGCAAAGATTAGACCTGGCATCGCAGCGCGCCCTTGTTGTTTTGAGTGTCATTAGTTAAGAGAGATGAAAAAAAAATGTTTTGGGGTTGAGGGGTGGGGAGGGGAGGGGAGGGGGGGGGGGAGAGAGGAAAAAAAAAAGTCGGTTCCAGCCTGTTTTGCATTCTAATCTTTTCAGCAAACAGTTTAGGTTGTAATTAACCTAAAGCCCAGGAGTAAACAAACTTTGGATCCAGTGAAGAATTCTATCTCAGCTGCCGCTCCAGTTCACTGACGAGTGACATGATTATATAATATATATATATATATGTATATAAACAATAATATCCAACGCAGACACCAGGCATTACTACAATTGACTGCTTTAGGATTATTTTTTTTAAAATCAGATTTAGCTGCTGATAACGGGCCATTATTTTTAAAATCGAAACACATTACAGTATCTCGTACAAATTTAAAAATAACACCACACACACACACACACACATAATATTCAGCAGGACAGAACATTTGACAACATTTCCAATTAAAAAGACTCTCTTTCCCTCACTGCCCCCCCCCCCACACACACACACCCATATAAAGCTGTAAAACACTTTCTGCTTTAACTGTAGCCAACTTTTCTCGGGAAGTTTATGGAAATGCCGAGAGCTGTAATAACGTAAATAGGTCTC